ATAATTTTACTAACTAAATAATGTTATTATTTTATTTTATTTTATTTAATATTGTGATATTGTCTTTGTAAATCCACATATGAGCCAGAACAACTGACCAATCAGGAGCCTTCTGTGACCAAAATTAGATTTAGCTCATGTGTAGCACAACCGGAGATTGGCTCCTGATTGGCGCTTGATAACTCGGACATTGCTATCTACAAAATGTACATTTTTCTAATTAACTAACAAACAGAAAAAAACAACAACTAGTGATTACATTTCCCCCCCGAGGTAATGAGTCTGCCTCTTTACAGAAACCTGGTCACATCAAAGTAATCAGAAGCACCACTCAGACTTCAGACCTAGTCAATGAACATCAATTTTATTTTTTATTTTAGCCAAAAATATTATCCTATCAAAGGAAGTGAATATTTTTGCACAATTTGCTGAAAACAACTTTGAGTGTTGAAATTACCTGGTCTGAAGCTATGAAAAAGTCTGCCTGTTTGTCCTCATTATGCCCACCCCATAATCTACGGGCAATGTTGGAAAATTAAGAATACGTGTTTTTCCTCATAGTGTTTTAATCCTTTTTAAGAATTTGATGGAAAACTTTGTAATGTCTATATGTAATGCTAACTCCACAAAACACTGGAGTAATGGTTTATTAAAATGTGTCTGTTTCAAAACATGTGACGACTACTCAAATGTGCCCATAATCCTCGCCACTGCTGCGTTAAGCTGTCACAGATACCACAGAGCACCTTTCTGCACCTGGGACGGCTGGAGTAAGAGCTGACAGGAGCAAGCTGTATGATTGGCAGTTCTTCAAAGGCAGCATGAGTGTGAGAGCCCACCTTCCAAGAACCAAACAGCCAACAGCCCCGTGTGCCAATGTGCGTGTCTCTGGGTGTCGAGTCCTGTCAAAATCGCATATTTCATTCTGGGGTATTCACATTCCGCGCACAGACTTCCAGCTTGGAAAGAGCTTCTCCGACAGTGAGAGAGTATGCACCACTGCCTTTGTCATGCACAGCCCAGAAAGTTGAGTTGAGATGGTCGCAGATGACCTTATTATTGTCCTGATTGAAATGGGAGACACGCAGCAGATGACTGGTGAAACAGGAAGATATAATATAGCTGTATATATAGCTGTATTGGGTCTCATTTGGTGTGGTATATCTGGGCATCTATTGCTCTAGTGCTGAGAGTCTCCTCATATGTATGTATACAAAGAAAACCCACACACACCTTTCACCCTCCGCGGGCAGTTATCCCTCTCTAAGCTTGGGTCCTCTACCAGAGGCCTGGGAGCTTGAGGGTTCTGCGCAGTATCTCTGCTGTTCCTAGCACTGCACATTTCTGGGCTGAGATTTCTGAGGTTGTTCCAGGGATCCACTGTGGTCCTCCAACTTCGGGGTCACTGCCCCGAGTGCACCGATCACCATGGGCAATACTCTCAACTTTACCCTCCAGGCCCTCTCCCGCTCCTTTCTGAGCCCTTGGTATTTCTCAAGCTTTTCATGTTCTTTTTTCCTGATGTTGCCACCAATGTCAGGTTGGTTCGCCATTACCATTCGGTCGGTCTGTATCTGGAAGTCCCACAGGATCTTTGCACGCTCATTCTCCACCACCTTTGGAGGAGTTTCCCACTTAGACCTTGGGGTTTCCAGCCCATACTCTGCACAGATGTTTCTGGACACTATGCCAGCCACTTGGTTATGGCGTTCCATGTAGGCCTTCCCTGCCAGCATCTTGCACCCTGCAGTTATGTGTTGGATCGTCTCAGGTGCCTCTTTGCACAACCGACACCTTGGGTCTTGTCTGGTGTGGTATATCTGGGCCTCTATCGCTCTGGTGCTCAGTGCCTGTTCCTGTGCAGCCATGATGAGTGCCTCTGTGCTGTCCTGTAGGCCAGCCCTTTCTAGCCATTGGTAGGACTTCTTGAGATCAGCCACTTCTGTTATGCTCCGGTGGTACATGTCATGTAGGGGCTTGTTCTCCCATGATGGGCTCTCCTCCAGCACCTCCTCATCTCGCCACTGCCTGAGACATTCACTGACTACGTCATCTGTTTTAGCCTTCTCCATGATGTAGTTATGGAGTTTGGATGTTTCGTCCTAGACAGTGGCTCTCATACTCACAGTCCTCTGCCTCCTTCTTTACGGCTTACGTACAGTCTCAGGGTGCTGGATTAGGGATGGAACCCGCCATGCATGGTAAGGAGCTTTCAAGTTTTAACATCCGTGGTCGGAATCTCTTCCTTTGGCCACCTGATTATTCCTGCAGGGTATCTGATCACTGGCAGGGCATAGCTGTTAATTGCCCGGGCCTTGTTCTTACCATTGAGCCGGCTTCTTAGGACCTGCCTTACTCGCTGGAGGTATTTGGCAGTTGCCGCTTTCCTCTTCACCTGTTCGAGGTATATATATATTATATATCAATGATCAGATACCCTATATATTAGGGTTGGGCAATATTATTTTTGTACGGGTATAAGTAAATTAAATGATAAGAAAAGGCCTTATACCGGTGAAAACGATCATTTAACACTGAAAACAGCGAGCAGAAGACACGTTTGTGTGCGGCGCACTTTGATGACGCATCTGCGCGACACGTGTAGCAGAGCGGCGTGCAGGGACAACAACAACAGAGCAGAGAGCAAACATGGCTGAGGGCGGCGGTGAAGACCATGGTGAAGACACGGAGATTGTAGAAGACATTGTGCCAAAACGCGGAGCTACCTCAAACATATGGGAGTAGTTTGGGAACTAGATGAAAAGAAGCAATTGTGTGTAACTATCGACAGTGGATCTAATGTTGTGAAAGCAGCTGCCCTAAACAACTGGACTCAACTGGCTTGCTTCGGACTCTCTCTCTCTCTCTCTCTCTCTCTCTCTCATAGTGCCATTGGTAAGCTTTATTTACGGTTTACTGTCATTCATTTTACTTCAATGCATGTGTTTGTCTACATTGCAATATAATTACAAATAAGTTATAATTATATAATTATAGAAACGCAAAAGGATACAAATATTATATACAGCATACATACAGTATTTGATCATTTTGACTATATTGGGATTAGGAAACATAAGCCAAAGTGATCAAATAATTATTGGATAATGCTACACTTTTATATTACATAGGATGTACAAAACAGAATTCTCTACAATTCAGTTTTGTTAATACGTTTTAAACACACAGCTGTATTGCACATTTTGCTGCCAATAAATCAGTAAATGCACTTTGCAATTTGAGGCAAGTGTGTTTAAAATGATCAGTGCTAAGTTTTTATAGCTTTTATATGAGGTTTTGTTGAAATTATCATATCGTCATATCGTGATACATACCAACAAAAATCATGATACATGCTGAGGCCCATATCGCCCAACCCTACTATATATATATATATACACACAGGCTACAGTTGTTTAGTCATATGCATAATAGTTTTTGTGTATTTGCACAGAATCAATAAAAAGTTGGGTTGAACAACACAAACAGCAAAAACAGCAAGTTAAATCTAAAATGAAACAAAAGATGAGAAATGCACATGGCCAAGTTTTTTCTCTACGCAAATTGCTTCTTCCACTGTTCGGTATGTTTGACAATTCTGTGATTGTCAAAATAAGTTATTCCGATCTAATGGGTGACGTGTAAACGCAAGTCATTATCATAGTTAGAACATTTTGTGGATGTAAATTATGTGAATAAAAGAAAATGAAGGATCCAACTGCTGTTTACATGCAACTCACAAATCGTCTAAAGTTCAGGGTGTTATCTGGCTGGGCTAATAGTCTGTTTATAACTTCTGCTGTGTGACTTGGATGAGTGCTTGAAGCATCAGTAATTGCCTGACACTCAGAGAAGTCTGTGAAAGGGAGTTAGGAGATCTTTGTTGACTGTGGATCACCTCTGAATGCTAATAGCCATTCCATAGTGTTCAGAGGGATTGATATTTTAGTATTGATCTACCCATCACTAACATTCATGCTTCTATCGCAGGGCACTTATCTGCAGATAGATTGAGCCAAAAAAGGAATAAGAAAAGAAAGATGGCTGCTGTATACATAGTTTTAGGCTAGTACTTGATTCACAGGGGGTCGGTTGTATTGACATTAGAGAGTGGCACATCTCAAAACAGTTGGCATGACTCCATAGTTTTCTAGATGCTGGGGACTTTCAATTTGTTACAATTCACTAAAGATTAAAAATGAATTGTTGTTAAAGTCAACATATCAAAATAATAAATATATATGTGTTACATGCAGTGTTTTGTGGAAGAAGGAGGGAGTTGTTAAACTGAGAGGGTCTGGCCTCTCTCTCTCTTTCTCCTAAATAACAATATGACATATAACATCGCAACGTAAACCTTACCCTGCTTAAGCAAATGTTATATTTCTCTAAAACTATATGGAGACAAGAAGTTAATTTTACCCAAAGTGGTAAAATGAGAAGTCAGTAAATTATACAAAATCCCAAGCAAGAAAAAAACAACCAACCTCTGAGTGTTGTAGTAACGTAAAGTGATTCACCCTTTAAGTCCAAAGTACTCAAAGAGAGAGTGTGTTTGATAATAAACAGTAAACCGCATCCAATACCCCAATAATGAAATACATAAGGTCAATAAGATAAATCTTGTCCATACAATAACAATGTCATAAAGCAGACAGTAACTAAAGCACGTTTTGTTCCAGGTTGATTTAATTGTTATTACTCAGCCTGTCCACACGAGAGCTTACACAAACTTACATGAGCTATTGTTTTACTGTAAAACATGGGGTCACGCAGCACAGCAGTCTAAACCCCAAACATAACTAGTGACTATGTAGATTTCCTGAAAAAGTCCAATTTGTAATGAAAAATATCACTTGTGCCCTTTACAAACAACAATTTACAACTTTTTGTGAATCCCTCTACTGAAGCTCCAGCATAAGGCCAACAATATTACAGTACTCTGTTTTTACGGTAGGTAACGGTCGCATAAATCAAGAGAGTTAATTTTACGGCTGTCCCTACCTCCAGGACAGATGCCTCTTGTTCCATTTGTTCGGGGGGAGCACACTTCGTCTCCTGCGGCCGACTGTCACCTCCGACTCGGACACATCTGGCAGCGAACATCTGGGTGTTTTCATTAGTACCACTGTCGCTTGGTCTGGAAAGAGGCAAAGTGAATGGAAATGAGACAAATATATTGAGAAATTAGTGACTAGGGGTGGGAACCTCAGGGTACTTCACGATACGATACGATGTGCGATACAAAGCTCACGATAACAATTATCTCACGATATGACGATGCAGCGATTATCGATATGTTGGTCAAAAATATGCCTACGATAATATTTTTGTTATATTTATGGCATAAATTAATTAAGTGAAAAACTACAATTTATTTCAAGATAAATGGATAAAGTGTCATGTGTAACAATAAAATGAAAAGGCCTAAATGCCTTTTAACCTGCACATTTTAGTAAAAATCTGACTTAATCTGTCTCACATCCAATAAAATCACATTCTACAGAAATTGTAGAATGCGTAATGTAGCCATTGATTAAGTATTGTTTGTTTTTTTCAAATAAAGCTTAATTGTTTTGTTTTTTTTAATGTGAAAAAAAAAATGGGGCGACAGTGGCTCAGTTGGTAGAGCATTGGCCTTTGGCCGTGGGTTCGAGACCACCACAAGAATTACTTCATGACTCCCACTGATGACTGCTGTCGTTGTGTCCTTGGGCAAGACACTTAACCCCACTTTGCTTGAAGCCCCCACTGAAAGATCAAGGCTCCTGTGGACTCACCACCTGCAGGAGGATCAGTGAGGGGCTGGTGCTCTGTGAACTGGGTGCAGCTCTGACTGGTCTGCCAATGCTATATGTTAGCATTGGCTAATTCTTATTCTGGGTCCACCCCCATCGGCCCGGGGTGGTATTGCAAGCATGTCAGTGCACATCATTTTGGCCACTTTTGAGCCAGGACCCGCCCCCACTGGCCTTCATCAAGCAAACATGAGAAGACCACCAGGAAGTCATCTTAAATAGGGTGGGGCAGGCACCCAAGGGTGTACAGTCACCACACACACCTGGTGTTTAGTCGCTCTTTAATCACATTTCTCGTACAGCATCAAATAAATGTAATCTTGCAAATATTGTCGTGTACTAATATATCCAGTGTCAGTTAATTGCCAACAAAAAGATAATAATAATAAAGCCCTTGTCTGTTCGGGTCGCTACAGATTGAACTGACATAGTGATACTGGACACATGATGTTTGGTGGTTTTACATCCACAAAGGTTTGCCTCAAGTGAAGAAGAATTGATCGAGTTGAAGTGAACCAGACCAACAAGTGTGAACGGGCCTTCCATCAGCTCTTCTCAAACGTTTAAGTTCCACCGAACAATTTTCTAGTAATGGCACTGTATCATTCATACCTAAGACTCCGGTCTCTTTGAGTCCGCCAAACTTCTGCATGGCTTTGATGGCCCTGGTGAGCGCCTCCTTGGTCTGGAGCTGTCCAGTCACTGGGTCAGGGGGCGGGAGGTAACCAAACTTACTCAGCCAGTCCTGGAAAAGACACATGAGACGCACAGTTTAACTCAAATTCAGATTCAGATTCATTTATTTGCCATTTGCAGTAAAACCACATTGGAAAAACTGTGCAAGACTACCCCAGTGTGCACCAGACGACACACACCAGAGCTCTTGCCACAGGATCCAGGATTCACGACAACATTAGCTGCATTAAACTATAATAAGTTTAAAATAAAATATATTTTAAAAATCATTTATATCTGTGTAAAATAATCAATTTACCTCATTCCTTGATCTAAAAACAGTTCGGTTCCATCATTACTTTTCACATATTTTTGTCTTCTCCCAGCCTGTCAAAATGTGACTAGGGCTCCATTAATATGAAAAATAAAAAATAGCATGTTGTGGTCTGAGTTATTCACAAGACTCTTTCTCTCTTTGTTCCAAGCTTTATATTTACTACTTTCTCTCATATAAGGGCGACAGTAGCTCAGTTGGTAGAGCATTGGCCTTAAGGCCAGAAGGTCGTGGGTTCAATTCCCACCTCTGCACCTTCTCCACTGACTCCCACTGATGACTGCTGTCGTTGTGTCCTTGGGCAAGACACTTAACCCCACTTTGCCCAAAGCCCCCACTGAAAGATCAAGGCTATGCTCACACTCAGAGCAGCCGTCCTCCTGTGGACTCACCACCTGCAGAGGGTCAGTGAGGGGCTGGTGCTATGAGACTTGGGTGGCATCTCTGACTGCCACCCCCCTGACCCAGAAATGGATTAAAGGGTAGAAAATGGATGGATGGATGGATGGACTTTCTCTCATATGCCTTTTTGTTGTTATCAAGTTGGACCAACAGTTAAAAGCATTTTAAAAACAATACAAAGCCTATTTTCCAGGGAATGATTTGGCATTTAGGACTGATATTATTCAATAGCCTATTTAAAGATATTTGGCATCACTTGATTTCATATTTGAAATTTGACTCACATATATTGTTAAAGCTAGTTCAAACAACAGTACCTGGACAATGCAAGGAGCGCCTGCACACACATGGCACATGTGTTACAGGCCTTTTTATTTATTTAATATTTAATTTATTTAGACAAAAATACCACACCCATTATGGTCACGTTATTGTCACTCCAAAGATTCCAAGTGGCCTAAACCATTAGTTTGTTGACACACTTCAAACATGTTAGCCTTAAAACCTTTCCAGTCTTATCACACAGACAACCCAAACATTTCACTTGACAAAGTACACTTTCCACCAAAACAACCAAAACTAGTGACCAATGGACATCCATAGCAACACAAACATTACAGACTAATCATGGCAACACAGTTAGCTTAAAGACAATCTATTACATATTCATTACAATGAAGCAACTCCAAGCAAATAAGCCTGTAGCACTCTCTGCAGTGCTTTGCTCAGTTTTGTAAAAAAGGGAGAAAAAAAAAAACTATTGACATGTTTTGAAACTGTTTTAGTCGATCGATTTCACAGTGACATTTGTTTACTGTTTATTTGTTTTATTTTTGTCTTTTAATGTTGTTTTATGTCTGTATTTGTCTGTGCACACTGGAGACTTTTGCTAATGTATTCCAATGTGGTGTTTTTACTGCAAATGGCTAATAAACTGAATCTGAGAATCCTAATTCGTCCCACAGTGGGGAACAGCTACACAAATATACAATATGTGTAGCTGCTATGTTTCTTATCTAACTGTAAATGTTTTAATATCAATGCATGAGGGAAAAATGTCCAACCATCATTCATTCTTAAACTATTAACACCTTCAACATATGATTGTATAATAAAACATGGTTGGTTTTTCTTAAAGTAGTGACAAGAACTTTTCATGCTTTAAAGTTTTGAGAGACAAACACCAGTTAAATGCTAATCTCCTTTCATTGTCATGTCTCTTGTTCTATTCCAGTCTAAATCCTCCTCTAGTCATGAACTCTTGGCAATGCGCTCTGGCAGCTGTGAAATGGGTTTGTGATCAGGGCTCATCTGAGGTGAGTGGCAGGGATCGATCGCTTGGCAGCCGTTCAGCAGCAACAAATCTGACCAAATCCTTTCACCTTAAACTTGGCTTAGAGGAATGCCTCCTGATCCCTGGACTTTACTACTCCTACCATCTGTGGAAGTGCCGGAAACAAGATGAGCTTGAACTGGTGGAGCTTTAGTAAAGAGTACAGGAGAAAAAGATACATCCCTTTGCATTGGGCCAATAAAGATAAAAATACTAGAATCTGAAAATTAAGATTCTAAAATTCATTGACTGAATAATCCTTTTTTTTTTTTTTTAATGACCCATAGCATACGCAACATTAAAGAATGAAGACAATTTAAATTACTGTATTATTTTGTTGTTGAAGTGACCAAGGAAAGTGCCATATTTGAAATTGCACAGGATGAGGCTTTGTTGTAAGAATTACTACGGATGCAGAGAAGGCATGGAGCGGAAATACCAATGGATACTCTGTAAACAGATTATATTTATAGATATAGAGACCGCTCTCATTAGATTTTTTTGTCTAATGTGAATTTGTTCATAACAAAGACCAATAATCCAAAATGTATCTCAGGCAACTGAAATTGGAATCCTTCAACTTAATCCCCTAAACGATAATTAATATCTCAGAGGTATTTGAAAATATCAACTTCCTACTAATTATTGCATCTCAAAATCTGGGAAAACTGGTCGAGGAAATCCCCTAGATTAATGTTTTACAGATTAGAGTGTCGGAGTAAAAAACACATCAATAAGTGCTCGACTGACCTTATTGCAGTATTCATATCTGTGTATATGAGGCAGTATAGCCAAGCCAAGGGATTTGTATGATCGTTGCAAGACCCCTAAAGTGGACTTTGCCTACATCAGGGGTCTCCAACCTATAGCTCGGGAGCCACCAGTAGCTCGCCAGCCCCTTTCAGGTAGCTCGCCAAAGGATTTAGAATTTAACAAATGATCTTGAATGAATACTTTTTGAGCCATTGCACATCTATTTTAAGTATAAATATAGGGTTATACAGAATTATGGTGTATTTTACATGTGTTCACCGTCGTAATTATTAGATAGATTTTTTACGACTGCAAAAAGGAGTAGCTCTCTGCCTCTTCATTTGTATAAAAGTAGCTCTCTGATTGAAAAAGGTTGGAGACGCCTGGCCTACATGTTTTGTTGTTGTCAGAAATAAAGTGACTACCGGGTTTATAACACACTCTAAACAGGAGAACGTGAAGTAACCAAACATATTTGACTGAATACTTCGGATGGTTGTAGTTACTGTTGTAATAATACAAAAACTCACACAAACTGACTTGGTTAAAGAAAAATGTGCTCTCCCAAGTACAAAAATCACACTTGTAGGTCGACCACTGTGACCGCAAGAAGTGGAATTGCAGGTGGAGATAGGTCGGAAATATCCTCAGTTTGTGAAATAAAAAGAAATCCGCCATGAACAGAAACCAGGACCAGATTCCAAACGGAGATAGAACTAAATAAATTGGATGTCCTCTCAGATTTTTTAGTCTGTCTAATACTTTCAATGGAAATTACAAATCAGATAAAAATCAATCCATTTATAAAAACAGACAAACGAGTTGATTATTTCATGGGTTCACAGTCATCACATTTATCCTGGCGATGCACAATATTACTTTGAATATTTGATTAGATACAATTTGAAGTCATTGTACCTAGGGCTGGGCGATTAATCGATTTTAATCATTAATTCGAGTTTTACGTTTAGGGCGATTTCTTTTTTTAAAAATTCGATTTTTATTTTCTCCAGCGCAGAACTACAGCGCTAACGCGCTAACCGCGGGTCTATGGTGTGGAGCAGTCATTTTGAAGCTAACCTAATGCTAACAGTCTCCCTCTGGCCTGATGCTCGCTCTCACAGTTGGTGCTGTTGCAATAGCACTTCAAACGTTCAAGAATCAGACTTTATTTAATCGCCAAAACACACACACACAGGCTCCGGTCGTACGCCACATCTTTCACGCTCTCTCACGCTCGTTATTCCAAAGCGTGAAAGCGCACTCCCGTGTCCGTGGCGCGCACACACTCGTGTCCCACTGAGCCGCTGCACTTTGGGGAAAGACACGCCTCACACATTGCTCTCATTGCTCTGATACAAACAACGTGTTCCCCGCTGTCCGTTAGCTACAGTAGCTGCTACAGTAGCTGTTAGCTACAGTAGCTGCTACAGTAGCTGTTAGCTACAGTAGCTGCTACAGTAGCTGTTAGCTACAGTAGCTGCTAGCTACAGCATCAGAATGTAAACAGGAAGCTCGCACAATGCGGGAGTCACTGAAGTTAGTATTAGCGCCACCAGCTGGACCGAGCGTTGTACTACAGCACAGTTACTCAGGCACAGTTGAAAGAACAAGCATGAAAACCCGAGGAGGCTTTTGGAAAAGACTGTTACAACATTTCTATTTTGAGTAATCAGTTTTAAAAATTTGATATTTCATGTAAATAATGCATGTGTTTAATGGGATTGATATATTTGCGATGGGCCTTGTTTGTGTGATTTAAGTTATTTTGAAGGTGCATAGTGTCATTGTAAGTGAAGTTATTATAAAACTGTTAAGCTACATTTTCACTGTTTACAATGGCAGAGCCATCTCGTTTACAAGCATGTTTTAAGGCTTAATTCCTGTTACACTTATGCTCCATGGGGATTTAGATTAAACTGCATAAAGGAAAATCTATTTCTTTGTCAGTTGTAGTTTGTTTTTAAATAGAAAAAAATAAATCGATTAAAATCGAAAATCGGATTTGGTGTGAAAAAATCGGAGATTTTTTTTTTTTGCCATATCGCCCAGCCCTAATTGTACCCCTGAGATTTAGTGAATATCCAGCTGTGTTGAAAAGCACATGCAGGGTCAGCTGAAATATTCCGAGCAGTCTGTAAGCCTTATATGTGGATAGCTTAGGTGCTTTCCTCACAACATTAAAGGGGATGTTCCTGCTTTTTGAGACAGAAGGAGTCAGCTATGATACAATATAATCCCCCAGATAATTAGTGTGGTATGATTTAAGCACATTTTACACCATACAGAGAGATACTTTAAATGATACTTTAACTCTAGGACTCACAGAACTCCAAAAGCAGCTATTTTTGACGGCTACAATTCCAAGTTAGTGAGTTTTCCATTATTTTTTATTCAAGGTAAGCAATGTATATGATTTGAGTGCTAAAACTGGTGAATATAACTTGAAATTAATTAAAAAGCAGTACGTTGAAGAGCTATGAAATGCTAACTGGTGAAAAAAGCTTGTCGCTGTGGTAACTAAACTTGCTCTTCTGTGGTGGGAGACCGTGGTATGCCGGGAGTTAAAGGTACTAGATCATTTAAGATTAATATTAAGAGATCCTGTATTCGTACCACAGTGGGGAGATTTCAGTGTTGCATCACCAGTTACAGAACAGTAGGAATGAGGAGCAAAGAGCACAAGATAAATGAATAATAACCCTACACGAAAAGAAAAAAAAAATCTGACTCTAGCATAAAAAGATGTATACAATCTCTATCTTTAGCATAATAAGAAATATCAAGGCATAAGAAGCATAGTCTCATGAAAATAATAAACAACATCAAAAAGTCACAAAGTTATGAAGACCATAACTGTACATACTTTGAGTAATTACACTTCCAAAACTAAAGGCCGTCAAATTGACTGCTCTGGGAGTTCTAGTACTAACAGTGAGTTCAGGAATAAATGATTCTGTGTGTGAGGACAGTGGACAATTATTTAACCTAGTGAATTCATTTTCAGCATCCTGAAATGTATTTAAATATTAATCGAATCGTGACTTCAGTGTTGCACCCTGGTAGATACAGATTCAGTTTATTTGCCATTTGCAGTAAAACCACATTGGAATACATTTGCAAAAAGTCCCCAGTGTGCACCAGGCAACACCAGAGCTCTAGCTGCGACGCCATGTTGCAGATACGCCGGGATCTAGTCTTTGAAAGCCAAACTGTGGACACTTCTTATTTCCTTTCTGCTGTGTGGTGTTCTTGTGATGGATTACTGTGCAATCCTTGTCTCTGTTCCCTGCACAACTCATAAACTCACTACATCCAACTTTGTCAAGCCCAACAACTCATTTCAACTGTGGACATTGTTGTTTGAAGGAAAAAGTGCACATTATAACAGTTCCTGATACATTACATATAGTGCTCAAGAAATGGGGTCTTTATAGTTAACAAAGTCAGATGAAAAAAGAATTATGCAACCCAAACAATATTGCAAGCTAGCAAGGAGAATCATGTGAGCAGTAAGGACAAAAGGAAGGAGAAGCCAGAGCCCGTTCATAATTTACATCTTGAATTTAATAAACCATAAACTAATGCAGCTTTTCTCCTGAGGCCGCTCCACCTGAAATATGGGATGTGCAAAAGAGCGAGCAGAGCGACAGAGGAATGTGGTGAGCACTGCGTTACACCCCTGATTAACTATACCACATATTGAATTACCGGGGAAAATACTGTAAAACAAAGATTGTGTGAAAGAACAGGGATATGAAAGACACTAGTGTTGTTTTGGTAACAGACCAGAGCAATTACAGCATGCTAAAGTAACTAAGCAGAGCAAGAGTACACGGATACAAGTACATTTATGGGTTTTGTGAGATTGTAAATGCATTTAGAAGGTGTAATGGGTTCGTTATTGCAAAAGCAGGATTAATTATGTTAAATAAACCTGAAAATGTTTGAATGGAAATGTCACTTGTTTCTTAAAATAGCATGGCTTGTTTTGCGCTATGCTTTGTATTATTGTATATTATTGGTATATATTGTCATTGTTCTGTTTTTTAAATGTGAAAATACAAAGGAATAAATTAATAAAGTATAAAAACGTACTATTTGAATGTGCTGAGAATGGCAGCGTGTCCAAAGTCGCTCTGAAACAGATCTTCTTTTATGCTTCATAATCGTTTTTTTTTTGCGGTCTGTAAACTTTCCTCTAAAAGGTTGTTCAGAACAGAATGCACCTAAAATTCACTGAAGCCTAATTTTTGAAAGGTGCGTTAGCATTCTAATACGGCATTCAGGGTTTCGCACTGAACCTAGAGCCGAGAAAATGGCCCAAACCAAGCCCATGCTGCATAAATCCACCCGTGAAAAGGCTTCGAGGCGGTACCTTGTGACCAGGTACAGCGGAGGAGATCCCCAGGCCCCAGGGCTCCGCGCTGTGGGCATCATGGTTCTAAGAGAACGTCCCCCCGCTGTGGAGACAGGGGGGACGCTGTGGAGACAGGGGGTGACGCTGTGAGACAGGGGGTGACGCTGTGAGACAGGGGGTGACGCTGTGGAGACAGGGGGTGACGCTGTGAGAGACAGGGGGTGACGCTGTGGAGACAGGGGGTGACGCTGTGAGACAGGGGGTGACGCTGTGGAGACAGGGGGTGACGCTGTGAGAGACAGGGGATGACGCTGTGACACAACTCTCGCGAGACCGTGCGAAAGAATAATGATGGCGGCGCCCTGCTGCTAGATACAAACACACTTTTGGATTTTTTGCCTTTACACCTTGGATCTCATCTCAACTTATCTCTACATACATCACCGCAACATCACCTACACCCTGGAATCTCAGAAATCACTCGAGGATTACATTGACGACTGCTACTCCCGACTGTGCCCCATGGATCCCGGCATAAACACCATCCCCGGTACTCCGAGCAACAGCGGTAACGAAAATAAAAGACAGAGAATGGCATCAACACCAGAAGGTAACACAAACACGGACACACACACGACAAACGCTGACATCGCGGGGATTCTCACCGCAATCGAACTCAGACTGGCTACAATGGACAACAGAATATCACTTATCGAGCTGTTACACAAAGAGTTTGGAGCGCTCAGACAGAGCCTCGAATACAGCCAGGAACAACTACAATCACTCACCAAAGACAATAAAGAACTCAAAACATCTGTCAACACACTCACTAGCCAACTTAATAATGTCACCGCGGAAAATAGAGCCATCAAAGCTACTCTCTTGGACTTACAAACACGCAGCATGCGAGATAATCTCGTTTTCAGTGGAATACCGGAGACAACCTCAACAACACCAGAGAACCCCGAAAAACTTATCACCGACTTCATCACGACACAACTCAAACTTCCCGCAGCAATAGCCCAGTCTATCACATTCCATCGCGTGCATCGCATTGGCACAAAACACCCGGACAATAAACGACCGCGCCCGATTGTGGCAAAATTCGAACACTTTAAACAAAAGGAACAGGTTCAGAAACAAGGCCGACAACTCAAAGGAACACACTACGGAATGAACGACCAATTCCCGAAGGAAATAATTCAAAGACGCCAAAAACTCTTCCCAGTACGCAAAAACATGATTCAACAAGGACAGAAAGCCGTAATAAGCATCGACAAACTGTACATAAATGGACAACTATATCGAGACTCTGAAATAACACCTTGGCTCTACTGATGCAATGCTTTCAATAACATACATAACCACATAACTTAATCTCTCACTATCTCCAGGTCTATATCTATGTGTATGTGTGTATGCATGTATGTATTATGCATCTATGTGTGTGTATGGTATGTCTATGTGTATATATATATGCATGAATGTGTGTGTAGATATGTATATGTACGGATATGTATGTGGATATATATAGATATATATGGATGTGGATATGTACGTAATACGTAGGTATATGTATATATACACAACACAAGATAAAACGGCCTCTCTCATGGACATCGCACACACAGCCATACAAACACTATCGAAACATACACAAAGCACACAACAAAGCACACTTCTTATAACACCACACACATCACTACATATTTGCTCATGACACATCCACAGGATACAACAAATAACACTCAATTCAATATACAAACATCGCACAGCCTCCTACTCTCGCGAGCAAAGCACCATTGGCTCAATGCTCGCACACTCCCAATCTGACTGTCACTCACCACTCCTAAACCCTGAACTGTACCCTCCAACTCCCCGCACCCCCCACCCCCTCCTTTTTACTCTAATCTATGAAACAAACCCTGACTTACTGTACTGCCCTGGACTTATCATCAGACCCTCTCATGCACAGACATGCACCCACAGACACAAAACACAATAACATGCGTTACATGGAATGTGCGCGGACTCCGAACTATGACAAAAAGACAAAAAGTATTTAGCCATCTCAAAACTCTCAAACCCGACATCTGCTTCATACAAGAAACACATCTGTCAATGGACGACCTACATAACCTCAAACCTAAAGACTACAATAACATATATTCATCACCATACAACAGCAGACAAAGGGGAGTCTCCATTCTAGTCCACAACAAACTCCTCTTCAATCTGGTTTCGACTACAGCTGACCCTGAAGGACGGTATGTTATCATCCATGCTACCATATCGAGTAACAAATTTACAATTGTCAACCTATACGGACCCAACAGCGACGACCCCACTTTCTTCCACAACATATTTAACCAATTAATCGACAGCTCTAACATCATCATTGCAGGCGACCTTAACATCACACTGGACCCAAGACTAGACCGCTCACACACAACCAGAAACAGGAACTGGCACTCCACTGACATCCTAAAACAATATATGGAGGATTTTGGCATTGGCGATAGCTGGAGATTGTCACACCCTGACACAAGACAATATACATACTACTCATCAGCACATCTATCATCCTCTCGAATCGACCACATCCTCATAAGCAATACATTATTAGCTAACATTAGAGATGCCACAATTCACCCAATCACAATCAGCGATCATGCACCTGTCAGCTTAACATTACAGTTTAACCAGTGCACCAAACACTCCAGCAGGTGGCGCTTCAATCTCTCACTACTCAAAGACCCCGAATTCAACAAAATGATGGAGAGAGAGTGGACATCCTTCATGGAATTTAATGACTCCCCGGAAACCACCGCAATAACTCTATGGGAAACAAGCAAAGCATACATTAGAGGCAAAATAATCTCATATTCATCATACAAAAAGAAAAAAGAAATCGAAATAGAACAACAACTACACCAAAAAATTGAAAGACTAGAACTACTGGGAAACATACTATTACCAGAACTACTCAACACACAACAACAACTCGAGAAAATACAACAGAAAAAAAACAATTTCATCATCCAACAACTGAATTATGAACTTATAGAAGCAAATAACATCTCACCAAAATACTTAGCCAACTTACTGAAAAGAAAAAAAGACAAATCAACTATTCAAGCAATACAAACCACAACAAAACAAATCACACTCACGACCCTCAGGAAATCAATGACACATTTCAACAATTCTACAAAACACTCTACACCTCCACGACAAATACCAACCCTGCAGAAATCAACTCTTTTTTTAGCACCTAAAGTTGCCACATCTCCCCACAGAAATAGCCCAAATGCTAGATGCCCCACTATCCTCAACTGACCTTCATAAAGCCCTCACTAATATGCCAAACAACAAATGCCCCGGACCAGATGGCTTCCCACCCGAATTCTATAAACATTTCTGGAACCTACTGTCACCACTTTTCATCCGCACTGTACACGAAATAAAAAACTCCTCATACATCCCACCACACATGAACACAGCCAGCATAATAATCTTTCTAAAGCCAAATAAGGACCCCACCCAACCCACCAGCTACAGACCCCTCTCATTACTCAATACTGATCTAAAAATTATCACTAAAGCTCTAGCCCACAGATTAGAACAAGTCACTCCGCTTCTCATCCATCCAGACCAAAAAGGCTTCATAAAAAACAGAAACTCCTCAGACAATCTCCGCAGACTATTCAACCTCATTAACCTCTCACAACACTCAAATACAGACACCGTCATAACATCACTAGATGCAGAAAAAGCCTTCGATAAAGTTAACTGGACATTTCTGATTCACACACTACACCAATTCGGCTTCGGGGAGTCATTTATTTCATGGATTAAAATACTTTATACTTCACCCAGGGCCACAGTCACAACCAACAGTATCACATCCCCCACATTCACACTGCACCGGGGAACACGACAAGGATGCCCACTCTCTCCCTCACTCTTCGCATTATTCTTAGAACCACTAGCAACTGCCATACGCCAATCCAACAGCATCAATGGAATACGCACCCTTAATATACACCATAAAATAAGCCTTTATGCCGATGACATCCTCCTATACCTCCAAAACCCCACAGAATCATTACATGAAGCATTCAAAATAATAAACTCTTTTTCAGCCATATCAGACTACACAATAAACTGGAATAAATCTACAATACTTCCCTTGACAGATGGCGCTTGGAACTCTTCAGCTCAGGATCTCTTCCCTGGGATTCACACGGGCAACATTAAATATCTGGGCATCCACATTTCCCCCAGGTTGTCAGAGTTGTTCCCACTAAACTACACCCCGGTTTTTGACCAAATAAAAGATGATCTAGACAGATGGACAAACCTCCCACTCACTCTCATCGGCCGCATCTCTGCAATAAAAATGAAGATCCTTCCAAAACTCAACTACCTATTCTCTAACATACCCGTCACACCCACAGATAAATGGTTCAAATCACTCGACTCACTCATATCAAAATTTTACTGGAAACACAAAAAAGCCAAAATCAAACTTTCAACATTACAACAGCCCAAATCACAGGGCGGCCTTAACGCACCCAACTTCACACACTACTTCCTTGCAAACCAATTACAATACCTAGCAACATGGATAAAGCCTACACACAATAACTCCTGGACAGATATCGAACAATCTATATTACATAACATCCAACTGTCAGACTTACCAGCAATGAACACTGCACTCAAAAAACATACCTCTTTTAAATACATAACTATCTCAACAACTCTGACAGCCTGGTGGAAAGCTTTAAAACTAACTAACTCATCACCTACACCCTGCAAATACACTCCTCTCTGGCACAACCCTGACTTTCACACAAATAACACACCACTGCACTACAACACATGGGAACAAAAAGGAATCACCCACCTCGGACATCTATTCAACAACAACACATTTATGACATATAAACAACTAACAGACAAATTCAATCTCAACCAAAACTCCACATTTCAATATTTCCAAATCAAATCCATAATCAAAGGCAAGATTAACATACAACACAACCCCTTAACTGCACCCCAACTCATTGAAAATATAAAAAACATTAAAACTATGAAAAAATTAATATCCAAACTACACAACTTCTTGAATACAGACCAAACAATACACACCCCAAAAGAAAAATGGAACCTGGACATTAATTCACCCATCACACCCGAATTCTGGACAGAAATATGCACCAACACCTTCTCCATGACACCAAACACCAATTTACAAATGATACAATACAGGATTATTCACAGAACACATATAACTGAACACAAAAAGCATAAAATGGGACTAACAGACACAAGCACATGCACTCAATGCACAATGGGCTCCACAGACACATACATACATGCACTGTGGGAATGCACACCAGTTCAATCCTTTTGGCACACAGTCACTCTAAAACTCTCTGACATCCTGAGCTGCAGAGTCCCGCTCTCCCCATCTCTGTGTCTATTGAGCGCCACCTCTACCAGCCCCATACCTACCAGATACACAAAATGCCTTCTGACATCTCTAGCTATCGCCAAGAGGATAATCTTACTAAACTGGAAAACCAAAAACTCAATAAGCATCAACCACTGGATCAACTCCCTCACTCATCACATCACCACACATCACCCATCATCTCAGGATGATAAACGTACTGTCCTTCACAGAAACTTGGTCACCCTTCATCAAATACCTCAATATCACCATATACTAATCACTAGTGTTTGGAAGTCCCTGCGCGCCCGCGCACACACACACACACACACACACACACACACACACACACACACACACACACACACACACACACACACACACACACAGAGAGAATCCTAACACCATCAGTATTATGCTGCTAACCCTGTCACCACAGTAACCAACCTCTTTTTACCAAACCAAAACTGAAAAAATGATTAAAACCAACAACAGACTCACACCTACTAGATCAGGCCATTCAGGAGGGGAGGCATGCGCTCTAGGGGTGACTCCCCTGGAGCGCAGACCTCCCACAGACCCCTGGATTTTTAATGCATAACATAAGCCACGCTCAACACACACATACAATACACACAAGATTAAACAAGGAGGTGGCCCTGCTGTTGCTGGAGGAGACCCCTCCAGCAACAGCAGGTGCATGTTTTTAATGCACTAGACGCGCACAAAAAAAAAAAAAAAAAAAGGAAAAAAAAAAAATATATATATATATATATATATATATATATATATAAAAAAAATAATAATAATAATAATACAAAATAAGCAAATCAATATATTGTCACATAAACAGCCAAAATACGTTACTGGGATCTGTGGAGACAGCAAGTGGCAGCACTCATTTTATTTTTTTTGTTTTTTATTTTTTATTTTATTTTATTTTATTTTTTTTTTTCGCTTTATTTACTGTTATTGTTCTGTTTTTCTATTTCCTCTTCAGACACATATGGTCACACATTTATACATATACACAAGCACTCAAATACATTAACACCCACACTTACACATTAGAACCTACATATTTCCACGACAGTACTTGCTTGTTATTTAGTTTTTTTATTAAGTATTTTGTTTTCTTTGTTTCATGCTCTGGATGCCTTAAAAATGCCCCCCCCCCCACTCCCCCTTCCCTCCCCCACCAATATATTCTGCACTACTATGTTGTACATAGTAATTTATGTTTTTTATGGAATCTGTATCACATGGTGTTAAATAAAAAAAAAAAAAAAAAAAAAAAAACATGGTTCTAAGAGAGGGGACTAGGAGACCACCGACGTCTTTCCTTCCAGAGCACCACCTCTACCTGGTAGATGTGCTTGAGGACACCTTAACTCTCAGCAGATATCTCATAATGATACAAAAAAGTATCTATCTCTCACAAGCTGTAGACTCCTACATCCTGCTGTTGTCAGAGGAGCACTACTTAAAGGGTTTTAATTCTTGGTTAAAGTTTCAATTCTATTTGACTGTTTATGACTTAAGTCTGTTTCAGCTAATGACACAGACACAGGGAGACAGGTATAGCACACATTTTTGACCAATATAAGCACATAGTAGTGATATATTATGAGAAAAACTACACGAGACAGTTTAAACTGAAAAATGTAAGCCTGTTAGTGTTTCGTTCTTGCAAAATGTGAATAAGACAACGCAGCCATTGTTACATATGCATCATGAACCAAACCAAATGTAATATCTGAGTTGTTACACTCCCACAATAATTCAACGGAGATCAATGGTTGTTGTAAAAGTAGATTTTTGTTTGATAATTTGTGGCCAGTCCTAATATATTCCATACTGCATCAAATGTGCTCCGACATTGAGTGCATTTAGAAGAAAAGTAAATATAGGGAACAACCTATTTGGAGTTTTGAAACCTATTTGAAATTATTGTTTCACATTACGAGATTGTTTAAAAAAAAAAAAAAAAGCTATATTTGTTGATGTGATTAGCTGCCGTTGTAAGCAGTAAAAATGCAAAAGTGAAAAGTGTACTATGTCAACAGAATCTTTGGTTGAAAGGAAATCTGTAAACAATTATAATTTAAAATAAAAATAAAGTAAAATGCGACAGTAGCTCAGTTGGTAGAGCATTGGCCTTAAGGCCAGAAGGTCGTGGGTTCAATTCTCACCTCTGCACCTTCTCCACCGACTCCCACTGATGACTGCTGTCGTTGTGTCCTTGGGCAAGACACTTAACCCCACTTTGCCCAAAGCCCCCACTGAAAGATCAAGGCTATGCTCACACTCAGAGAGCAGCCGTCCTCCTGTGGACTCACCACCTGCAGAGGGTCAGTGAGGGGCTGGTGCTATGAGACTTGGGTGGCATCTCTGATTGCCACCCCCCTGACCCAGAAATGGATTAAAGGGTAGAAAATGGATGGATGGATGGATGGATGGATAAAGTAAAACAAATGGGGCTTCGATAAAGTGAGTTGTATTGCAAAAGCTTAGCAAGACCTTACAACGCATGTCAACATTGAAGGCGTGTAGCAACAGGCTACTCATACTCATGTATTTTGGTAATTGCATCTGTTTTGCATCATCTGCCTCCAAGACACCACAGATTTTCATAAGTGAAAGTAACAATTAGGAAGCATGTAAACAGATGTAGCTGGTCAGGCTGCATAAATGTGACTCCCTCTGCATAAGATCCAGTCCCTTTATACTCAACAGAAGCTGAGAACACCACAAGCGCTGGCGTGTTGTGACTTCAGAAGGGCTGAGTCTGTGTGAAGCGAGGCCCTGACCTCATGTCCTAACTGCCCCCATGGGTCCTCTGCACTTAGCATGCCCGTTTCTCCAGTGACCTGCCTGATCTGAACCATGTTAGCGTTTAGTTTGTGAGTGGTGTGAACATGGCGCCTCAGAGGAATATCAAGTGGAGGCTAAAGTGGCTTGAGTGTAGCAGGGGCACATGAATGTCACTATTAATGTTTACTATAGCAACGCATACGACATGTGTCATTGTCAGTCAGTGTGCATAACTTCAATAAAGCCATGCCGCATTGTTTGAATTCAAGCTGGTTGATAAAGGTGTGGAAGGAAATCTAAATCCCCACTGCAAGACCTTCTGGTCTGCTGTTTTGTGTTTTGTTACAGTTATGATATTGTGATGGTTTAGAGCTTTGGTGTCAAATACAAGGCCCCAGGGCCAGATCATTTGCAGTGGCCCCTGAAATGATTATCAATTATTATCATTAAAGGAACTATACCTGATTTACTTTCCAATTAGTATTACTACACAGTTGTTGTATTAAAATCCGTAATGTAATAAAAACTTGAGCTCATTGATTCAGCGCTGAGTAGAAACTAGCTCTCCTCCAATCACAGAATGAGGAGCGGTGCTCTTACAAACAGGCTGCGTCCTCTGGCGTCTGCAGGTAAACACAGCAGCATGGTAGCTGATAGTGGCTATACTTCCTCTGGCTAAAAGTGCAGACACAGCAAAACTGCCCAAACTACGCCACAGTGAGGAAGAGAAGAGGGAACTAAAGCGAAAAAAATGATCGAAGAAATCAAGCCCGGGTGAATGTAGCTAGCTTACATCGTATCCTCCGAGGTACCGCCTGGCCTGGAGGCAAAACTAGCGGTAATCTTTCAGTTATATATTTTGTTAGCAGTGCTTTGTTTTTGTACTATTTCATCAGTGATTGTTGTACAACTTACAACAAACGTTACGTTTGCATACGTATCAGATCACAAATAAAACTAGATGGCTTCGTGGGAGGAGTGCGTAGAGGAGAGTAGGCGGGTTTCTCAAAATGAGAAGCCTGTTAGCGAGTTGGGGGCGGTGCTAAACATTCAAACTGAAAAAAACCTTGCAGAAACAGGTATAGCTCCTATAGCTCCAACTAGCTCGGCTGACCACCACTTCGTGTTACGCATATGTAATGAGGCGGACGACGCAAGCAATAGAGAAATTCAGGTTCGATGAATAAACATCAAGACTGGCTGCGTAATACATCAGTTTGCAAACTCACATTTATTTCAGACAGATATTGTTTGGAGAGACACTACTGTACATGCGGAAAACCTTAATGTCTTTTTAATGGGACATTACTTATATACTTACTGGTTATTTCTGTTTCAGATGCAAGGCAGACTTTATTTGTGTCATGTGCAGCAGATATGAAATGTACTTAACAAAAGATATGTGTGGTGAGCACTCTGCAGCAGCAAAGTACATGAGACTCAGATGTATCATTCATATTTCAAAACACATCACAGGCCATTCCTGCATCATGGCATTTCAACCCAGCAGAGCGATAAAACTGTATACTCACCTTTAAACAGTTATTGTTGCTCTGGCAACTGAGTGATGCAACCGATTTTATTGTGTAAACTCTGTATCTTATATAACCTTTACTCTGTGAACATTACTTATTTTTTCCACGACAAAACAAATACAATATGGATAGACTAATCTTATTCATCCAAGGACATAATCTTTAGAGCCTTTTATTTGGTTTTGTTTTCCCATTTTTTGGAACTTTCATCTTATAGAACTTTACACAAGCTAACTTACAAAAAAATCCCACATACAGCGGAGGTGGATTATTTTTTCTCCAGTGGGCACATTGGGATATCGTCACCGGATTCTTGTCGTACAGGGAAAGCTGCTTCAGTTTAAATATAGTTTACATTTTTACATTTTTATATTTACAGAAGAGAGAAGGGAACATGCCAGTGTGCATGCATGTTCCCAGTGTGTTCCCAATGTGTGTGTGTGTGTACTTTATTTTTGTCATTGAAAATTGAGGTTTGTTTTTGTGACTTCCTAACAATTTAAATCGGATTTTTGAATTGAATAGAAACTGGACTTGAAGTTACGGGTTCACTGTGTAATATTTAGCGCCATCTAGCGTTGAGATCTTATATTGCAGTCTGTTAAAGTACGGTGGTCTTTGAGTCTTTGACAGTGCTCCTCAACTCTCAGTCGTTCACCAGACTGCCAAGGAAAGAATACTTTAGTTAAAAGTAAAAAAGGTGAGTGCTGCAGAGGGTACGTGTGATAGAAGGCAATAAAAACAGATGCTCTTCGAAGTCAGGGCAACTGCCCTGACGAAGACCGCTGTTGGTCGAAACGCGTAGGCAGTCCACTCCATTAAAAGAAAGAATACTTTAGTTTGAGAAATGACCGGATTTCTCCAAACGTCTCAAGCACTTGACAATAGCGTGGAGACAACTTGTAAACAAGACCGCGGTCAGACGCAGTTTTACCATGGATCTATTATGATTTATAGTTTTACAAACGCGGTGTGAAGAGAAGAGACGCAAGGAGGATTAACGTCTGCGGGAGCTTAAAACTACGATGATCAGAGAACCAGGACATATACACGGCCGCAGCAGGACATGGCTAAAAGCTCATGTTAGCTTTAGCGTTAGCCACAGCGCCATATCTGTATCACAGTAAGAAACAGAACATTCACTCACGCTGCTGATAAAGTATTCTGTGATTGTTTTGTGGGGATTCTGTGTGTTTTATTTGAGGCTTTTTCCTTGAATAAGTTTAGTTGAAACTTGTGACATAGTAGTTTGGACTCCGCTTGGATCGGGTCAGAACATCCTGAGACTGTTGCAGATTCTGCCTCGTTCTCATTATTGTCAGTGTGAAAAAAGTTATGTATTGTTCACGTGTGAGTCTGTTGTGTACAAAGTACACAATGTGCTTTCTGTTGTGTTAATGCTGTCTTTGTGCGTGTGGTTTGCGATGTTGACACTTCGCTGCTATGACGCTGGACTTCTGCATAATTATTTTTCTTTAAAAGATTGTTGTTCGAATTGTTCTTTTACATAATTGTGGTCCTCCATGGTTCTTTTATATAACTGTGGTCTTCCATGGTTCCATCTTCCAACTTGTGAAGGCACGGTGAAAGCAAGAATATCAGTAGATTTTTTCTTTTTGTCCCTTATCCACCACCGAGATAGGGCATATGGAGAGCACCCCTTCTCCCATGGACACTTAAGTTAAATTCTAAGCCTATGAATACAATTCAAAAAACATGGTGGAGGTAAACATTCTTAAAAAGGTCACATTTGTTATTAGTTTACAAGCTTTTTCATATGGAGCAGCTGTAAAAATTACACAGGCTGTCTTTAAACTAAACCTGAAGTTACAAAGCAAAAGAATAGGTATACTTGTGAGGTCCATGACATGACTGAACCATAGACTGTATATATTAACGGACAGAGTCACGCCTATCTCCGCCGTTCTAACTAATGGGCCAAAAAATGTGCTCTGCAGGAGCTATCAAAAATGGCTGCAAGTGGTCCCGCCCACAAGACAATTGTGAAAACACACATCTGCGCATGCGTCAGCAGGAGCAGCTCCATTCATTTGAACGAGAGACTTCAAAAATTCACAGCGACTAAACCAGACTGGACCAGAACACCCCCCTCAGCATTGACACACATGTGGAACGGAGCTTTGGGCCAAGAGACAACTTTTGGTCCATCCTGTAAAGACGTTTTTGAGAGGTCTGCCAATGCTATATGTTAGCATTGGCTAATTCTACTTCTGGGTCCACCCCCATCGGCCCGGGGTGGTATTGCAGCATGTCAGCGCACGTCATTTTGGCCACTTTTGAGCCGAAACCCGCCCCTACTGGACTGAACATAATATGTAGTACATGCTAAGCAGCCCTACAATTGACCTACAAAAGACCACTGGCAGCCATGGGTGGGGGATATGAAATAAATCAGAAGGGTTTGTGGTCGGTATAGAAACAGGAATCGGGTCAATTTTCCCAGGTCTGCAATTTAGAATGTGGAATAAATTGTCAATATAGTGTCAATTGGCCTTTGAGTCTGAAGGTCATAGGTTCGAGCCCGCCACTAGACCTTTTCACTGATGTCTGCTGTTGTTGTGTCCTTGGGCAAGACACTTACCCTCTTTGCCTGACGTCCCCACTGAAAGGAGGATCAGTGAGGGGTCGGGGCTCTGTGTACTGGGTGCAGCTCTGACTGCCACCCCCTAACCCAGAAATGGACTTAGGGGAGGAAGATGGATGCATTGCCTCAAGGTCTTTAAGCCGAAGAAGTCTGACATCTCAGAGACTCAAGCAGGAGCTTTGATGAAGGGTGCATTCATCAGTAAATTGAGTCCTAACTGATTAAACTATTGATCTTTATTTTACCAGGACACTCCACTGAGAATTCATAATTTCCACTGGCTAATGTTACAGTGCTTTTCTATGACATGAATTGCAGTTTAATGGGAATCATTTTCTGTGGCAGATACAAAGAGTAGCCTGAGCAACGATTCTAGAGCTGTCAATATCTGGGCATTCTTCTCTCGCTCCAATGTGTGATGTGAAGCAGCTCTTCATCAGGGAGCAATTATCTCACAAGTGTCGGTGCTCTAACCACCCACTCACTCACCGCACGGGGTCTTGTTCAGTCAGAACATCTTCATAATTTACTGCCTATACTTGTGCTAATCGTGTAAACGGATGCTGGTCACACCCCGCTGTAGACATATGGGAACACAAGTTTCATTTTCTTTGTATAAATAAATAATAATTTGTGCGTGTTAAGTTTGTCAGATACAATATTAATTGGTTGGAGACGAGTAACCCTTAAATCAAATTAGAAATGAGCCAATTCATAAGTACTTTCACTGATTAAAATGCATGAGGCAACTGTTGTACTTAGCAAAAAATCAATAGATAAACGGCAACGTAGCAATTTATCTACGTGTTTTCCATTTCGAGATTATATCACGAACAAAAGCATTTATCTCCAAACTGAATCGCTTCTGCAAGTATACACAGCATTCATTATAACCATTTTACCGGTTTTATTCTTATTGATGGTAAAAGAATGG